CTCGCATGAACTACGACGCACTGCTTCTGAAAGTAGTCGTCGTATTAGCATATGCCCACTGTTTCTAAAATCGAAACCAATGTCAAAAAGGCTTTTCGAATAATACTGTAACATTAGAACTTTTAAATTTGTAGTTATTTTTAGTTGCTTTATTTTACACTATTTTTTACTATTTTTGTAGTTATTTTTATTTGTTTTATTTTACACTATTTTTACCTTACTGTATCCACAGCAGATTACAGTTGCGTAATAAACTATTTTTATTATTGTACGAGTTCCCGGGCAATAAATGGAAACTCTCCCCAAACGTTTATTCTTCAGTCAATGTCGCCCGACCCCATCAATCAGACAATATTGGGCTGATGGACATGAAGTCTAGGGGTGAGGCAATCCGTGTGTTTGATTTTCTTGATAGATACGTGAAAAAAAAAAATTCCACTGGTTACACTCCAGCCAGCCATTTAGCTGTGGAATCATAGCCCCCTGAGGGCCGTTTCTGGTCATCGGTATCTGGCTGGCCCGCAGTCAATATTCAACTGTCAACACAAAACAAACAGAAAAGACGTCCAAATAAAATTTAAAAGGCAGTAATCAGTTGACAGTCGCAATAGAGAGCTATGAAACCGCAGCTACCAGCCATTGTGCCATTGACATAAATTTGCAAAGACTCATGGGAATTCACAACAAATCATAGAAAAACCACAACGAAGGAATGCTGTTAGAATTGTTGTAATTGTCTGTGTACATTGTGAACATTTGTTTAACACACTGTACCATGTTCTGTAGAAGCACTGCACATCCCTAATAGATTTGCATATCAACCCAAAATTGTCCATGTTGTATACTGAATCATCAAAATCTAAAGCACGCCTGTAATGACAAACACTTTTGAAAATTATACAACTAGATTCTAAAGTTTTATTAATTCTCCTTAAATTTCTTTTTTTTTTCAGCTGATATGGATGTTGATTTAGACTACAAGGTTAAAAAACGTAGGTAACGCATTAAATATTTCACCTAATATTTACAAAGAGAAGCTGGGCTTTTTAGAAGAATCGTCTGTTTGAGAGCACTTTGTTCAATCCACGAGGATCAAAGTTAACAAGAAAATTCTAGAAAATTATATGAAAAACGTTTCACTCAAATTTTCACAGGAATAATAGAATCCCACACCCTCAAGGGTCTGGGATGAGATTTTGAGTTGAGACAACAAATCACCAACAAGCGTAAGAAATCCCCAGGCCCTATGTGTGTGTATCTTTATCTTACATCACATCACAATACGTTTTTAAAACTGAGAAAACAAGCTTGATACAAGATTAAAATGGATGCAATCTGTCATCCACTGAATGTACAAGTGTCAAGCAGATAGAAATCAGATTACAATATATTTATTTTTTAACCTCACTGCATATAAAATAGTATGAACATAAACATAGTATTTACTCCAGTAATTGACAAAAGCAAAGCTGCCATTGGCTACATGCCTTGGGTAGTGATAATGTAAATACTCCTGAGTGAGTTGAGTTCACTGCTAAACGATTCACATCTTCTACAGACAACACATCCACTTTTTAAAAAAATTATGAGATTCTATATTCGGTAATGATATAAATTAGAAGTGTTCGTTGTCATTGTCTGTATTCCCAGCAGTGTGTCTTTCACAATTTCAAAAGCCATGTTTTAATTAACCTAGCATTAAAGGTGCCTGCTTACTTTGTAGTTCCAGCTTGTATATTACACATCGCTCCATTGGACAGTATTCTGTGCATCTCTGCCAATATTACTAGTATTATCGAATCAGGGAATCTTTTACAAACGATATACAAAGTATGTATCATTCACAGTCAGTGAGATCAGAGAAAGTAAAATATCTATGTCCTTGCAAGAGTACTGTAAAATGACTAATTTTCACTAGGTTTAAATTTCGTTGATTTACCATTTCAGGCATATTCAGTGGGTTTTAAATTCACGGTTTTATCATTTAGATAATCTGTTCTATGCTAAATTTTACATATTCACTGGGTTTTAATTTAGCGCATTTTCCAGTCAGTGAAATAAGCAAAATTAAAACCCAGTTAATAATTGACCCTTGTACGAGTATTTCAAAATACATGTTTTCATGTGTATTTTATGTTCATAGTATGTCTTCTATCATTGTAGTTACCGTGAGATTCTCTGAAAACTTACACATAGTAGCCAATGAACCGTCCCTAGCGCTGTATCGTCTTCAAGAACATGTCAGAAAGACTCTTCCAGTGTTGTCAGATAAACGAGTGAGTGGTCAATATTCTCAGTAATTGTACTTTGTCTAGGTTACAACATCAACCACAATGACATTGACTGGCCATTTTAAACTCTGAGGTGAATCAAAGCAATGATACTTGCATTTCTGCAGGGATGGAACAATTAAAATTGGAGGGGTTTGAGTTATAGGGATGGACCAAATAAAATTTGAAGAGTAGAATGTGAATTTTTTCTCTCCAGCATATGTTTGATTGTTTGCTGTTTATTTGCAGTGTGTCCACAATTAGACTCCATCTCAAAAATAACCAAACTGAATGCTTTGCTATGTAGGAACATACAAAACTAGAAAGCTTTCATGATTGACTTATTGTTCATTCCATCATTTTGACCTACACCAATGGCACTACTTTTTACTCTCAGGTTATTAGGTGACATTTAACACCATTACCAAAGTATCTATGACATGAAATAAAGTAGTCCCAAAAATGTCACAAGGGTCAACCTTTGGGATAACAGCAATTAGAAAATAATGTTTTTTATTTATAGGAATTTTTTTAATGAAAAAAATGATCTTTGACTTTATCTTCAAGACCCACTAACTGGAGGGTACATATTGACTTGACTTTGACGAAATTGTAAATTTGAAACAAAATTTGATTGCTTTCGCCTTCAACTCATTAGCATATATACTTGCTGCAGCTCTCCTCAGTCACGTTGTTGCCATGGTTATGCACTCACCAATCAAGTTTACTGAAGAAAAATAATATAACCAGCAAAGTCCCTACAATATTGTGCCCCCCCCCCTCCCTCAAAATAGCAATTCCATGTTGTAGACCTATTCACTTTTCCATTTTGTTTTCATAGGTTGAGATGAAAAACATACAACAGGAAGTCCAGGGAATGTGTTACGATGCAGAGTATGCTACAAAGTAGGTGATGTCATGCATTATAAATTTATAATATATTATGAAATTTTTAAATATCTGTAGAAATACATCATAACTCTAGTATATTTATAAAGTATGCATAAAGATGACAGAAATATTGTTTTAAGCTCAATTGCTTGGACAAAGTGACCCTACACAAGACTAATTTCACATAAAATGTGATGTGAAAACTAAGGGGTGACAGAGATCGAAGAAAATTATGATGCATTATGCGCACTATGATGGAGATGACACATAAAATCATCAGACTTATCCTCTCAGGATGGCGACTTAATTGACATTTCACCCATGGTTCTCAGTATCTTGTACCGTTATCCCTGTGGTTCGCTTGACAAAACTGGATTTCAATAGACTGCGCCCTCTGTGATTTAATGTACAACATTCGGTATACTACCGGTAGTTGCACAAATTGGCACTAATGATACAGAAATTGTTTTATAAAAATAAAAAATTGAAAAAAAAAAGATAAGTAGTTTATAGAGCTGTTGTCACTTTAAATGGAAATTCTGTTAAATTTTGAATGTTACAGAATAGTGTAGACTCACAGTTTTTGAAATAGGTAATTTAAAGTTTAGAACCGAAAAAAAATACTGTTAATAATATCACGTCATGAAATAGACAATATTGTGATTATGTATTGTTTCAAATTTTAATGTCTGTGTTGTTGTGTTGTGACTACATCATACATGTATTAAACAGTAGTTAGAGACATCAGTATACTGTATATGTTTGAAATTCTAGTTTCCGATACAACTTGAATATTATATTTCTCATCTGATCTTCACTACACCTAAGACCAGGAAAAACAAATTCACTGACTCTCGTTTCTGGATGCCTGCCAAAAAACGTGCACCTGGAACATTTTTTTAGGTATAAAAACAAAATTTAGCGTCAAATTCTGTCTTATTGTTAATGAGTGAAATTAGCAAAATGCCTTTCATCTCGAATAAAATTTGAATGTCATTTGCTTCCACAACTTCTCTGAAACCATATGTCAAAATAAAAAATGAAACACACCATCGTCTTGTTTTAAAATTTCAATGATTAGGGAAACAGATTTGTTTTCCTAGTATAAGAGTATGAGAAATTTTCTGTACTCAAGTATGGTTTGACAACAACAATTCTCTTCACATTTGATTAGATGATCATCTGTGTACTACTAAGTATATCTGAAAGTCAAATTATTCATTCTGTGACTCATTATTATAAATTTGTTTTACATTGAATCTGAGATCATTCCTTTATTGGAACTGCATATGAATTATGCGTTAACCGAATTATTGCAGGTGACAAAAATCTGGGAAAAAGGATAAAGAAAAATGTTAGTAAATAATATTAAAACAATCACCAGCATTTAGACACGCTGAAAGTCAATGCAAATTGGAAATTTTACTCCATATTTCCCACAACTTGTACAAATTCAGGAAACAAATATTTAGTGATAGCTCCAAGACCACAATAAATCTTTGATAATGATCTAAAAGTGCAATTTTAGGATCAAATGTATATTTCTAAATCTTCAAAATATTGATGTATATATACCTGCCATGTTTAAAATTATGTACAGTTTTCGTGAACTCAGTACTGTGATTTTATATAATTGTTGTTTTGAAAATCTGTCATGCTGAGTGTACTAGTGTAAATTATTATTCGGCAGAGCGGTGAAAAAAATGCAGAATAGTGGATCACATTTCACAGCCATTGATGAACACCTCAAGAAAACAATGTATTTAAAGCAAGAGCTTGATAAAGTCAAGCCCAGAAGGTACGTAACATTACAGTTTTCAAACTGGTTTGTTTAAAGCGAGGGAGTCGTCACCTGCGCATGCGTCAGATGGCCCTAGTGTGTCATTGTTTACAAACAAGCTTCTACCAATGAGTCTTTGCATTTTTAGCATGTCTTTTTATTGTCGTTTGGGACTCAATTCCCGCACGTGCGCAGGTGACGACCCTCCTGCTCGAGAAAGAACATTCAAGAAATGTTTATACCTGTACGCCGTCTCTTAGTTCACCCAGTGTTTGCAGGAGAATTGTACAGCGCCCTCACAAGACTGTATACTGCCCTCATAACACACTGTAATTGTAAATGAATTTGCAAAATATCTGCTTCTGATTTGAAATCACCATGATTAGTCTATTCCACTCACATATTGCTACTTAAAAAACAGAAAATACCTCCCTCAACATTTTGCTTGAATCCAATGCGAGGTTCTTTTGTTTTTATAAACAGTATTTGTTACAGTTTACCCTTAGAGACAAGAAATGGAAATTGAATACTGCCCTCATGTAGTTGATAGTTAGTTGCTATTGTTTTTATACAACTCAATTTGATTTTGTTTTTTCTGCCCAGCAATAATACTACGAGTAGAATGGACAGAAAGTCTAAAATAAAGAGTGGGATTGCCAGATACTGTATATGTGATTTGTTTTCTCTTCCTGTTCTTTTAATCACATCTTGTGTTATTTCTAGGACACCAAGTATTTCCAGCACAGGTAATCAACCAATCAGTTCTACGAATACCGACCAAACAGCGAAGACCGTTGGTAGAGAAGAGACACCAGTTTTGGAAAAATCAAACATCAATGAAGAAAGGAATGAGGCAGGTGGTCAGAGAAGTTAATTCCAGATGTTGTGTTTTCATATTTATGTTCAAGTTTGCAAATTGCTGGTGGGATCAGTAAGAATTGCTTTGTATACTACCGGTATGCATCATCACCGATTTCACTGTTATTCAACGTTAATGTCATGTCATGTCATGTAATGTACAACTATGATGTAAGATGGTATTGAAATGCAATGTTGCATTTAGTGAACAGCAAAAAAAAAATAGGATAATGGAATTCAGTAACTGTATACAGACTGTTCCAAAAATGAGTAGGATTTGTGTGTAAATGCTGGTGAATAAACCATGTGCACTTGATGGATGATCAAAAATAGGATAATGGAATTCAGTAACTGTATACAGACTGTTCCAAAAATGAGTAGGATTTGTGTGTAAATGCTGGTGAATAAACCATGTGCACTTGATGGATGATCAGCCATGAAGATAACAACCATAGGATATCTTCACATGGATGTATAAGGAGTTTGTTGTGCTAGGCAATTATATTATAGCAAGACTTGCCCATGTACTGAATGCCACAATGTTAGGTAAATATAATTACATAAGAGTGGCTTGACAAGAAGATAACAAAAAAAAAAGAACTGTATTATATTTTGAAAAAAATTATAATAAAAAATTGCTATGTTATGATATGATTTTTTTTGAGAAGATTTGTTATAACCATATTATACAGATGTTGCTTCCCTGGTTGCTATAGCAATGTGCCCATTAAGATTCAGTTTCAGTATTTGCCGCATTTTCAGATTTTCTTGTTTGAAATCTAAGTATGGTTACAATTACTTATTTATCCTGCTCAATCAGTGTGCATGAAAACAAAGTTAAATTTCTTGTATTTTATGATCATTTTATCAATAATGACCACCGCAATTTTCTGGAAATTCTTCATTGTCGCAGAATAGTGTATATTTTTGAGCATTTGAGCCTGGGCATCCATACGCTGTAATAGTTTTATTATTTGCCACTTACACGTACAGTATATACATGAATTTTACTCTCAAAAACAATAAAATCATTATATCCCGCTGAACCTTGGGGATTGCAGCCATCTTGAAAAAGTGTTGAATGGTCAACACAAACTTCACTGTGAAATAGTTGTCAATTTTTTCTTTTCTCGTCACCTTGAGAGCTGAGTACCGGTACACCCAATGGATTCAAAATGCTGGGTAGATCCTGCGTTTATCTTTTTTCAGCAGCAGTACAATGGTTACTGTGTTCTCCCATTATCAGAGGGATTGTGGGTTCGTCTCCTATGGTTGACTGCACACTCAAAAAGAGCACATTTTGCTCACCAACGCTTGTGGCATTCTCATTGTGTCAGCCATTGTGTTTTAACGACAATTCACACGAAGATAATTAAATGTTAACAACATTCATCTTCTACCACATCTTCTATCTGATCTAAAATTAGCATATTTAATCAGAATTAAAAAAATATAAAATCATTTAACAACATTTTTTCAGAGACCATAAAATGAAAAAAAATAAAACTTGCTCATTAAATTTTTTTTATTAAATGAAAATCAACTGTAAACCATTACATTTCCAGAAGTCTTTGTAAGTTGTAAACATTGACAGTGGATACATTTCATGAAATCTCCATGACCAAAAAAACAACGGTGATATTTTCATCACTAAACAACATTTATCTCAGTTTTGAAAGATTATGTTGTTTATAAAAATTCATGGCAAGTATTATAAAAAGGGGCCTAGATACATCGTATGTTACAGCGAAAACTGAAAAAAGTTGCATGCAGAATTGGTATTACTTATTAGCTATCAATTTGCATATGTGATGGACCATTCACACAAAGTGAAACAATGTCTAAAAACCTGGCTACTATGGAGTATTAAAATCATAATACCACTTGTGTAATTGGTTGTACTAGTATATCGGTTGTAGTCACGACTGAAAGTACTGTATTGTGATTATAACATTTGTATCTGTCCTAGCAACATTCCAATCTTGTGAAAAAGCGCCGAATATAATTTTTCATACCTAAAGACGTATTTGTAATGGCCAAATGTGACGAAGCTATACTTTTATCAGTTCTTATCATGACTATATATACATGTATACTTTGAGGTTCATTATGGATCCGGAAACCCTAAAATAGTTTAAAAACCTGTGCCCTTCTACCTCCCCCCCCCCCCAAAAAAAACAAACAAACAAACAAAACAAAACCTGGTTTCATGTAAAACTTGTGGAAAAGTCTTCAAAATCAGCTGGAAACAATTCAACTGGACATTCCACACATTAAGTATATATTAAAGTGATTGACAGGGGATTATTATTCAGAACCTCAAGATGGAATTTAGATCAAAAAATATTGTAGGGATTCTTCTTTGTATGAATTTTGCAGGGAAAACTGGTAGGGAGTATATTTTGGCATCTGATTTTATACAGCCTCAATTGTGAGGAAATGCAACAATCAAATTTAAATGTCATCGAAATTAAAAAAAAAATAAGAGAAATGAAATCAGATTAAAGAATATTTACAATTTTGTTTTTCTACATAAAAAGGTTTAAAATATAATTAAAAATATGATTATATAAATACAAGAGAAAGCAGTCATGTTGTTCATACTGACATTAGCCTTTGAATTTAAACGTTGAGAGGTAGAAAAAACAAAAACAATTCATGTATATATCGATTGTACACTCCGAAGAAGTGTCTTTCAAATTGTGAAACAAGAATAGCTATCCACAATTTTCAGATTTAATCAATGACTCTTGAAGTATCAATATGATTCATACTGAGAAATAATTTCCCTTAACATTCTCGATGTTGTTGGTGATGCTGCGTTGATATCAATTTTTTCAGTAATACTGCTCCACAATGGCCATATTTATGTAGTTAAATAAAATATGGTCTATATATATATATTGATATATAAATCACACAAGTGTCGATAAATTACTCATCGCTGGACTAGCTGGTGGCGAAACATGATTGATATGCAAATATGGTGATTTTAAGTCTATGCTATGAACGCTTTGGTCCGAGTGCCTCTCGTATGGACCAAGACCTTTCGCGATTAACGACTGTTCATTTTTCCAGATGTAACAGCTCCATGTGAAACTATAAAATATGAATAGGAGACCAATTCCCATGAACGCTGTTGAAATAGATGCCGGAATCACTCTGAATTCCAGGAATAAATAAATACCAAGAGCTGAAAAGAAAAAGAAAAAATACATTTACTGAAATTAGCTAATAGCTAGCTGCTCCTGACAAGTTTGAATAAAAATCAACCTAGGTGGTCCAATACTGTAAATCCCTAAATGACTTGATATTTTGAGCGCTATAATTTTTCCCGCCAAAACTATGGACTAACATTTTGCACGTATTTATGTACTTTTCTTGTTTATTTTGGACCAAATGAAAATAATCTCTAATCAGCTACAGGTATCTAGTGTAAGAAATAGACAAGGGATGAAGGCTCAGCCAGCTCACATTTTTTAAACTCGAAAAAACAGATGAAAAGAATAAAAAATAAAATATAAAAAAAATACCAGGTTGAAGAATATTAGTTGCTTCTTCAAATTTCGCCAAAGCCCTACCTACATTTTACCGATATCTGCAGAATAAATAAAAAAAAACTACACAAATTTACTCGAACCGAACGCACGGCACAGTTGGAGGCGTGGCCTGTTCAGCATTTGTCAACAACCGATCAAAAGACTGGTTACGAACCAGATCGAGGTCACGACTTGGTTAGCCTTGCTCAACTGGTTCGTAACCTTATCGTAAACTTAAATGTTTCTCAACACAACTTGTGCACTTAAAACCTGGTGAAATTGCTCAAACATCAAAAAAGTAAAATTAAATGCCAGTGAAAATGCATGTTTTACAGTTAATTGCAGATTCAGCATAAAAAAAAAACAGTAAGTGAAGATTCATTACCAATAAAAGGCATTCCATAGACAAGTAATGTATTCATGGTGTAATTTTCCACTCGAATACAACAAGTGATTGACCATTAGTGTAGACTCCAGTCAAAGCTCTGCCACCAGTCAGTGTATTTAACCCTTTGAATGAAAACAATTTTTCCTACCCAAAATTTAATTCAAATATTTTCACATTTTGTAAAATTTTCACAATTTTATCGTCATTTTGGATCATACGAACAGTTTCACATATTGCATTTAGTTTTTGACTAAAAAATGTGTCAATTTTTTACAACATTTCATGTGGGGAGGAACAGATTGTACACAATGATTTTGATGCTGGTGCCAAAAGTTAACAATTGCAATCTATGTCTGGCAACTTGGTTGCAAAATATAATTCTTTTTTTTTTTCATTGGACCATAACAAAATTTTTATTTTTGGAGGCGGCTGAATTATTAGAATAAAAATGTTGTCAGAATAAAAATTGTGAATTTATGTTTTATTTCTTGCCCTTGTGGTTCAATGTGATCATTTCTTGCCAGGTGGTCGATGGCTAGAGGAAAATTATTAACCTTTTTCCACAAGACTTTCCTGGCCAAATTTGTCTGCACTTTTTCTTGTATTTTTCAAAAATTCTGGAAATTAACCCTAATTTTGGAGCCAACGGACACAATTTCAGTCAATTTTCAGTATTTACTCAAAATAATTGTCTATTTTTCTCCCAATCTTCGGAAGGAATGTGCAGACTATAAACAAGACTGATCTGCGAATTTGTGATGAAAAGAAGTGGTGAAAAGGTTAACAAAAATGAGATGGTTCAATTAATAGAGGGGGGCAAACAATTAGAAGTATTACAGTAATACAATTGTTTATCGGTGAGGTGTTTCCAGTTTGACTAGTTTGACTTCATGTCTGAAATCTTCGTACATAATGCAATTTATAGTCGTATCTGTGGTATTGATCAATAAAATATTCATAGTCACATATATCCAATTTGGAGCTAGATTGTGACCTAAAAATGATTTGACCCGAACTTAATTGGAGCTGTTTACACCAGCTAGACTTGAAAGGAGCCATTGTTTAGTGCCATTATAAACCGCATACACGTTATAGTCTTCAAACTCACCTATGAGAAATACTGGAATCCCGGCGAAGAATGAACCAATTGCTAGAAATCGTATACTCGCAGATTTTTTCAAAAACTTGTAAGCCCTACAAGAACAAATTAAATGCAAAGATGTTGTACATCAGAATTGTTTTTGAACAT